TATAATATTTATTATTTTTTAATAATTTAGATTTTTAAAATTTTTTTAATTGTTAAAGTATTACAAATTATTATGTAATTAAATTATATGAAATTGAATTTTAATAGGTAATTTTATAATTATATTAAATATTAAGTGTTTTCCGTAAAAGTTACAGTTAAAAAACTCTAAAATGAGACTTTTAGATTTATATATAAAAATCTGTTGTGACTTTTTGTAACTTTAAAAAAAAAAAAGCAATTTGAAAAAAAATTACGAAGCACACATATATCCAAAATTATTGTGTGATTATACGAAAAAGTTCTTACTCATAATCCCAAATGCACCATCATTATTGATGTTTATAACTTAAATATTCTTCTTTTGATTTTTTTTTTTTAAATTCTTCTTTTGATTAATATAAAACCCCTAACATGGGATGATAAATTTCTATATTCTCTCAATTTCTATCTTTGTAAGTAACTTTAAATAATACTTTAGGTGGTGCTACAGGGACAATATTTTTATCTCAATTTTTTAAAAAACTTTTACATGTCATTAAATGAGTTGATCCTATATGAATTAAAAGAATTAATTATTTTAATAACATGTCATGTTGTACAAAAAGATGAAATGAAAAAAAATTGTACAAAAATCATTTTCCTAATACTTTTACTTAATGTATTAATGATAATTGAAAACTTCTTTTTTTGTCAATACGTAACATTTATTGAATAGTTTCATTTGATATAAACATTAATTGTAATTTATAAGTTATATAGGTGAAAAAGAAAAAAAAAATTATTAGATTCAAGAAATAAGTTTAGAAGTCAATATTGAAGAAAATTTGCCAACAAATTACCTAAATATAGTGCTAATCTTCTTTAGATAAAAATAATAAATACTAAATTTAAATCACATAACATATAAATGAAATATATTAAGAAATATAAAAAAATTATTTTTTATTATATAACTTAAGATGATAAAAATAATTCTAAGAACATTTAACTTCTTTAAATGAACTAACTTGTTGCATAAGTGCTTTCTTAAAATTTTGAAATAATTAATCTCAAAGTGTACTTAAGCTTCTTCTTTTTTTGGAAACAAGTACAAATTACAAATGATGAGAGAATTTAAACTAACATTATATTAATAAAAGTACATCTTTAAAGCTAGCTGCAAACCACCCAGCCCACAAGCCCAGCTGCTACTTATTAAGCTGATCTAACACACCATCACCGTTCATAAATAAACAAGCACAAGATCAAAGAATGCCAAGATGCCAAGAGATGCAAATTGTAAAGGCAAAGTACAAACTTTGCACACAAGTACAAAGAATGAAATTCTACAGTTTTCTCATTGTTATCCCTAAATCGCTTAGCCGTCTTCGTAATCATGATTTCCATAACTTGGGTTAATCTATTGAAAAGGAAATTTCATGTCATGGTTTTTTTTTTTTCTGAGTGAGACAACTCGTGAAATTAAATTGAATGTTATTATTTTGAAATCTTAATTAAGTCAAATCACTACGAAAATAATTTGGAACTGTAGCTGTCCACATTTTATGTACTAAAAAATTGAGTGTGATGAAGTAGCCTAGAATGTCTTTTAGCTCCAGATTTCTTTGTTTACTAGAAAGGATGAAGATATCAATGCGTATGAGGTAAGAAAAAAATGGAAGACTTTAGAGGGCAGAACTATCGTTTATATGTTATTTCATAGGATAATAATGATATGTGCACATCCGGATTTCACATCCGGTGTACACACACCATATAAACAAAAAATAAAAAAACCCATCACTCGGTCCAACTTCTTTTTTTTTTTTATGTGGGGATGCACACTCGGATATGGGATCCGAGTATGCACGAATCAATGTCCTATTTTATAATCCAATAAGGGAGATCACTATTGATCAATTTTTTTATATAGGTGGCTTCCCTTATCGTACAAGTTAAACCACAAAATTTTACGATGTTATTGTAAACATCAGAGTCAATATGCATCTTACCCATTATGCCCATTGGGCTTTTTTTTTTTTTTTTTAATTTGGCTTAATTCAATTATTAGTCTATTAACTATCAATTTTATTTTATTTTAATCTAAAAAGTTTGTTTTCTTTCTAAATGATCTATAAATTTCAAAAATATTTCAACATAATTTATTGTACAACGTTTTGTTAGATTTAATGGAAAAGAGTAATTTTTTAAGTTTTGAAAAAGTAACACTATAATCCTAATAAAATATGATGACTCAAGAAATATTTTATAGAAATACATTAATTTAAATTTGTAATAAATTTAAGTAACTAACTCAATTCAAACAGAGAAATTTAGTAAGTTTAGAACAAGAATTTTAAAAAGTAAGCCTATTTTACAAGATAGATTATATGCAGTTTATTTTGTAAAATTATTTAAATGTCTTTAAAAAAATAATATACAGTTTGCTTTGTAAAATAATTTTATGAAGAACACACTTAGCAAGATAAGAATAAAAATTATTTTTATAGTGAATATAAATTGAAGGACTAAAAGATCAAAAGAAATACAGTTAGAGGACTAAATATTTTCTTAAAGAATAAGAAGATTTGTGTTAAAGATGTTAAAGATAACGGATTAGATAAAATTAAAATAAATGTAAAAGATAATAGACAAAACTAAAAAAAAATAGAAGGTAATAGATGATTTGTTAAATTAAACCTTTTTAATTTACAATGAAGGTGCTTTTAGGTTGATTCTCATGCATCTAAAAACTCATTATTTTTTTTTTCAATTTAAAAAGTATGTTCTCATATTAACATAATGTATTAAAAAAATTAATTTTCTAATCCTATTATGAATGACCTATATACCCTCGACCAAGCCAAAAGAGCTTGTTTCATAAATGGCTTGAAGGACATACAATGGAAGATTAGGGAAGTGTCATGTGAAAGCAGGGACCCAAAAAGGTTAGAAAGTAGGTGGAGA